GTTTTGAACAATTACTCTGTGCCAGGCCTCTTATATTAAAACTTAATAAATTTTAATCTCTGAGCACAGTTGTTATCATAGCTGCACTATACAAAATAGTCAAAAGTCAAAACAACCCAAATGTCCATAGAAAAATAATATGTGATGATATGGTCACACAATGGAATATCATTAGGTAATAAAAAGGGCGGCGGGGGGCGAAGAGAGAACATTGATGTGAAAGAGAAACATTAATCGATTATTTCCATAGGCGCCCCAACTGGGCGCCCCAACTGGGATTGAACCTGATTTCGGGGTCCTCTGGCTTTCAGACGGCCAGAGCACCCCTTACGCAGAAACTGTTCTCCAACCCACTGAGCAACAGCAGCCAGGGCTATACAGGGATTTTTTAAAAATACATTTTATTGATTTTTTACAGAGAGGAAGGGGGAGGGATAGAGAGTTAGAAACATCGAGAGGGAAACATCAATCAGCTGCCTCCTGCACACTTCCCACTGGGGATGTGCCCGCAACCAAGGTACATGCCCTTGACTGGAATTGAACCTGGGACCTTTCAGTCTGCAGGCCGACGCTCTATCCACTGAGCCAAACCGGTCAGGGCTATACAGGGATTTTTGACTCCATGGAGGTGGTGCCACTAACTCCCTGAGTTGTTCAAAAGTCAACTGTATATGGTATGCAAATTATGTCAGTAAAGCTATTTAAAAAACAAACAAACCTGATACAGCTATTATAGAAGTAGTTTTCACACCCTATATTAGTTTTGAAAACCATTGCAAGGAACATATTAATAACTAGAGGCCCGATGCTTGAAATTCGTGCAAGAGTAAGTCTTCGCAGCCGTGGCTGCGTGGATCCCTCCCTCTCAGCCTTGATCCTGCGCCTGCAGCCCTGGCTTTGTCTGGTCTAATTAGCATATTACGATTTTATTATTATAGTTTATTATAAATCAAGACTGAATATTTGTATCATAATGTGATACATGTTCTTGAAAATTGTAATCAATAATAAATAGGAAGAAAAAACTTAGCCAGTTTTTTAAAAAATTCTTCTTTTTTGAATTTATTAATTTTTTTGTTAATCCTGACCTGAGGAGATTTTTCCATTTGATTTTTAGAGGGAGTAGAAGGGAGGGGGAGAGACAAAGAGAGAAACATCAATGTGAGAGAGACATATAGATTGGTTGCCTCCTGCATGTGCCCTGACCTGCAACCAGGTCTGTGCCCTTGGACTGGAATGGAACTGGCCAGGGCCACCGACCCAGTTTTGATTGTCAGATGTAATGTAGCAATGGGCTAGTTAGGGATTTTCCTATGGGTTTTTTTTTTTGTTTTCATTTTGTTTGGGATTTAAGTAAATAGGGAAAAACAAATTAGATAACACTTTCAGAAATATTTTCCAGATGTTTATGTACTTAAATGTGTTAGCCTTTTTTATTATTCTCTTATTCTCAAAACTTTAAAAATGTAGTTTCAATGTTACCATATAGGTTAGGTGTTAAAGATAACTGCATTTTTACATAGAGTTTAACAAGTATATATGCTTTCTATGTAGCCTAGCAGAATTTCATACTGGATATTTTCCCAGCCATCTTGGACTTTTTGAATAGTTATCCTATTATTATATTTCTAACTGTTGGTTAAGATTCCTACTTTTTTTTTTCAGAAATAAAAGCAACAGTGTTTGATGACTGCAAGAAAGAAGACGAATGGAAGGTAGAATTTGCATATTTTATTGCCCTTATATCGACCTTTAATATATTGTCCTTACTAAACTTCCATCAGCTATAGAGTCTGGAACCACTTGGTTCAAGTCTTAGTTTCACTTAATAGCTGTGGCTTCTTGGGCAAATTACTTGATCTCTCCACGCCCCTGTATCCTTGTCTATAAAATGGGGATGGTAGTACCTCATAGAGTAGTTGTTAATATTAAAATGAATTAATCCATGTAAAATGCTTAGAACAGTGCCTGGAACAATTATTCTTCAAGTGGCATTTTATAATTTTAGGAAAACTTGTTAAACATAACATACATTTAAATTGAACATTCTCTGCTTCAGAGTGGAAAATTTCCATTTGCTCACTTTGTATATAATACTATATGTATATATAAAGACACAGTCTCTAGGTCATGCTTGTTAAAAGATGAGTTGAGATCATTTTGCCTACTGTCCTCATTTTAATTTTATGTTGTAAAAGGATTATAAGTTTGAATATGTTTAATGGATTAAATTATTTTGTGTGAATTTTTAGCAATCAAATGCTTATACTATTTTTTCATTTATATTCAATTTAAGATAATGCTTTTAGATGAATTTACCACTAAGCTTTTGGCATCATGTTGCAAAATGACAGATCTTCTAGCAGAGGGTATAACTGGTAAGTGTTACCAATACTCATCATGAAAACATTTTTATTGTGATTGGGAAAGTTTGAAGTATTGATAAATTTTA